GCTGATGTCCCTTTTCGCGAGTTGGTAGGATCTCTGATGTGGTTGGCCACTCAAACACGGCCGGACATCGCGCATACAGTTCGAGCAGTAGCGCCGTATTGCGCGTCTCCCAAGATGGTGCACTGGAAGGCAGCACTCGGTATATTAGGGTACGTACGCAGGACGAGTTGGATGGGGATTACATTTGAGAAGGGCGTCGTGACAGTTATGCAGGTGTTTGTGGATGCCGACTATGCAAGCAAGGCAGCAGACCGTAGGTCGGTGTCTGGGGGGCTAGTGATGTGTGTGTGGGGGTGTGTGACGTGGTTTTCACGAACGCAGAAGTGCGTTACGCTTTCCACCACGGAAGCAGAGTATGTGGCAATTGCCGACGTCTTGANTTATGCAGGTGTTTGTGGATGCCGACTATGCAAGCAAGGCGGCAGACCGGAGGTCGGTGTCTGGGGGGCTAGTGATGTGTGTGTGGGGGTGTGTGACGTGGTTTTCACGAACGCAGAAGTGCGTTACGCTTTCCACCACGGAAGCAGAGTATGTGGCAATTGCCGACGTCTTGAAGGAAGTGTTGTTCTTGAGGCAGGTGTGGCGTTTTATGTTGCCAGATGCGAGTAAGCCGTGCATCCCGGTGTTGGAGGATAATCAGGGAGCGATTCAGATTGCGCACAACCCGATCACGAACTCCAACTCGAAGCACATCGATGTACGGCATCACTTTATCAGGGAGCTGGTAGAAGGGAAAGTGATTTTCAACTACTCATGTGCCGACGCAATTTCAGCATGCAGATTTCTTGACGAAGGTTTTTAGCAAGGAGTCTTTTGCGTTGCACCGTGACTTTGTGATGAACTTGCAGTGAAGGAAGTGTTTTGGGGTCGATTCGTATTCTGTAGCGGAGAGAGAAAGAGACGAGATTGGATAAGAGAAAGAGAGAGTCTGATGAAGGTGGTAAGTTGAAGGTGGTAAGTTGAAGGTGGTAAGGGTATTGGAGGTGTGTTAAGATTTTTCTTTTTTTGTTTTAGAGGAGTTTTGGTTGTGTTGGATTTTTTCTTGTGATTGACTTGAGAGGGTTCTTGCATGTTTTAGGGAGGATATTGGATTTGGATGCTTTGAGAATTTCTTGTTTGTTTTGGGAGAGATGGTAAAAGAGGAATTTGGTTTTTGCCGAAGCTTGACGATGCATACGAGCAGGGGGGCTATTAGATATATTGGGGGTACTCGTAGCATTGTATGACGGGTAAGATCTTCAGTACGTACGTACGGAAATTGCAGTGATGAGATGCGGAGGAATCAGAGAGATCCGTTTGGTAGTTTGAGCGTGATGAGCGTGACGCGTGCTTGATGCCGTGACAGATTAACGAGCACGAGCACGCCTCCGAAGAATACAACACGTTTTCCTATACGCCCCTCCCCTACCACGGCCCGTCATGGCCCAGCTGCTCTACTCTCCCAACACACAGAACTGAGCCACCCGAATTAACGATCAGCTGCTCCATGCCTTGGTGTTTTCTTGTACCAAACAACAACAGCAGTGTTCCTCATGGTCGACAGCCGCCAAAGTACGTCGTCATTCGTACGCCAACAGAGCAATCGGTGTTGAATTAAGAACAAGAGCCCCCATTTCTGGAGAAGAATGGGACAACGAAAAACGAACTTGGCAAACAGGAACTAGGGCTCGGGTTGGGGCAGCCAATAAGAACTGAGCCTCGCTCAAAATAGGAGGTTCTCAAGTGCGGGCCGGCACATGGCTCATCCAGTTAGTTGACCTTTCGCTTTATGGGCGGTTTCAAGTGACGCCTGGTGCTGTTGGTCGGGCAACCGCCTGAGGAGGCGTTTGCCCGAGGCGTCAGGGCACAATTCCCTGAATCCCTCCAGCAGGCTGGATCGGGGGAACAATAATTGTTATTGTCTGTTGTATTCCCCGATCATGTAATCCTGCGCCCTCCAAATACTCGCGACCATGGCAAAAAGTTCACCATCATCGTGTTTACGGAACCGGTGAGGGCGGCCGGTCGGGACAATTTTTCGATATTATTTCCGTTTGAATATCGATATTTCGATACGACATCGATATGGCTTCGGTTTATGTACCACTGTCGTCTACATCAAAACCGTCATTCAGACGGCGAGGCCACTTGAGACGAATTTTCTCAAGTTTGATGTGCTCGTACTGTAGTAGCTCGTATGCCTGCTCCCAAAGATGATACCCGTATACCAGCTTGAGGTTTAGGCGGAAATTTCGACTTACAGTTCCTGGGACAAGACAGTGGATCTCGCATGCTCAATGCCGAAGGCATGGTCTTGCTCCTTCACATTAATATACGGTGCCTTCTCTTCGGCATTCTTCAAAGGCAAATCAATAAACGATCTCAGCAGCCAACCCAACAAGGTATGGAGCAACCCAGAGAAAGCCCCTTCATTCAAGGTAATATACTGGGCTGTTGCTGTTGCTGCTGCTGCTACTATGCTACTACTACTAACGCATACATCATTACTGGTTTGTAGCTTCATTATTCACGCACTTCAAAAGTTAAATTCCCGACAAGGGCACCACCAATCAACGAACAGGGGCAGATGCGAGCACATCAGCAAGCCATGTCACACTCTCCCTGGCCTCCAGCTTTGAAAGATCCGTGTAGGTTCCTAGGACAACGGTGCCGGACCGGCCTTTAAGCCCGATCATCTGCCAGTCGACGTGAGGGGGCAGGGGACGGGAAAAATACCGTCGATATGCAGTTGCGTTGAATTCTGTGGTCGGATAAGAAGTGGTGGTCTCAACCCTGAGCGGGACGATTGTAAATATTCGGTCGTCTTCAAGTGCCCACATGTCGCCTCGAAAAAACTTCGTTGCCACACTTGCAGCTATAAATGCGTAGGACTGCAGCGAGGGAGCGCCACATCAGCGACCTTGTCATGGTGCTGCACTGCGACCCGTGTAGCAGGCTGACAATACTTTTCGACTCCGAGAAAATCGACACACTTCTGTACAAAAGTGGTAGCTTGTTGCCATCGATTTACTCCAACCCCCGGTAAGTAACTGTCACCGCTACCGTAGTGCAGGCCAATATCCCCTTCGGCCAAAATATGTGCAGGTGAGGCCGCAGTCGCTCTATTCGGCATTGTGGTGGTACAGACTGGGCCCGCCATTCTTAATATACGAAAGTTTGATAATAGGGTTCGGAGGCGTAATCGGCCATGGATCCTACGCGAAACCCTCCGAAGTAGCCTGTGCTTGACCGTGGTGACGAAAGAATAAACAGGACTTCGAACCGCATTTCGTATTTGCGAGCCGTTTCTCTATTCCAAAGGTGGGAGCCTTGGCGAGGGCGGAAGCCCCGGATGTGATAGGTATCAACGCGAAAGACGCCATGGCTGTAAACACCAACCGGACGACCACGAACGAACGGAACGTCGCCCATGCCGTACCTTGCTTCCGAGAGGTTTGTTTGAAAGGATGATGCTGCCTTCCTGCCTCGATAGCACCATTAACTTGCTCCCACCTACCGTGATATCACCCTGTTGTTTCAAGTTGGGCGGTATGCATACGTCAAACGACAGTTCACGGACCAGACGCAGGCCGTGCATTGATGGCAAGTACTGCTTGGACGAAGCGTTTCTCATACATCGCGAGTCTTCCCGTTGTATGCGGGAGACGACGGCACCTCCTCAAAAGGTGATCTACTTCTGGGGCGGCTTCAAAGCGTTTTGAAGCTCTTGAGGATCTTGAGGACGGGAATCCACCAAAAAATCCGGTTGTTTGGTAAGCCTATGGAAGCTTTAACTGACAGGGATGGAACGGAAGCACTTCGGTTAACTCGCCAGCCAAATTCCAGCTTTCGGAAGACCAAAGTAAATGTTGGCACGAAGAGCAGGGAGATTCGTTGATCTACATATTTTGTGGCTCATTCTCCCGAAACCTGATACATCTGGCCAGTCGTTCTTGCAGTCCAGAGGCATGCAAAATGTCTGGCTTATTTTCCAGGTGGTGTTGCTGGGGCCTTGCCTTCTTGCTTTTGAATAGTCGCACCAAGTCGCAAGCCTCGTGCGTCTCAATAGCAAAAGAGTCGGTCTTGGCCAGCACCTTGCCCACGCTCGACAGGACAGCGACCTGCATGAACCTGACGGATCCAAGGCAGGTAATCACGGGTATGAGCGTTCGAAGAGTCTTTGACAGAGTGAGGGGTGAGATTGGGTGGACTAAAAGGCGCAACGGACAACAACCAACGACAATCAAGGCATTCGTCGGTGCGCCCATATACACGACGATCGGCATTCATGGTTTTTCGCCGGCACTTGTTTTTAATCACCAAAGGGCATCTGTGTCGAAACATCCGCCAAAGTTGCTCGGAGGTCCTCCTCACATATTATTCGGGTGCACACACCGCTCATGGTAGGAGCAATAGTACGCATATTTGTTGCTATACCTGAATCGCCACTAAGGGGTCTGACGTTGGCATTGCCCGAAACCTACCTAGCCCAGGTGTCCGAGCGCGACATGAAAGGAGTGCGCAAAAGCTCGTGTGGCTCCAGAGTCGACTGCGCGGTGATTGTTCGACACTAGTGAGTCTGTGTTGTTTTCTCGTTCCGTCCATTCTGGCGCTGCCGAACTACGTTATTGATACAGATATCAGCAGGGACGCTTTCGGTTTTCGTCCCCATCGTCTTTCCCTTGCGGTGCTTGGATTCGTTTTTTTGGGGGGGGCGGGGGGGCGGAAGCACTTGGTACGAAAACCGTAAAGATGATCCTGACAGCTTTACGCTAATATACGGCCGGGGCATGTGCAGACGTCGTCACTTCGGAGCGTTTTTCATGGGCGCCCTACAGTTGTAGCACGTGCTATGTGACAATCGCAAAGAGCCCCGAAACTCTTGTCATGAGGTCATGGAGCCACCTCGCTTCCGTAGGACAGAGAAGATTTTCATGGGTCCAGTCGGATAGATTTCTTGTTTGACGGAACAGATGGATGGACAGACGTGTTGGTTCAAGGAACCCATCCCGTTCAGGGAACCCATCCCGGTCAGAGAACACATCCCGTTGCAATAGAATTTTCCCAGAGATAAATACTCGCCGCGCCCAGCCCAGTTGAGCACATTCGCACCAGAACCGTCATGGGAGAAGTTCTCCTACCCGCCTTATTTATGTGCGACTCTGAAAGTTTCTTCGGATGGAAGAGATTCCCCCCCGTCACTCACTCACCTGTTTCCCGGATCTTTCGATAATCCGTCCAATACCGATGTCCAGCTCCCACTGCCGGAAACGGAGTCAGTGTTTGCCGCAACCTCCTCAGCCTTGTCCGTCCCAGCTCCAACCATGCATCTCGGTGGCACATGTTGGTTCACGCCTGCTACCGAAGAGGGTGGCATTCTGCAGGCGTCCGCACCCTCAAATGTATCCGGGGCGTTGACGTCTCCGTCCGCGGGACATCCCGTAGGCGGTTTACGAATACCCGCGGGCTTTTCCTGGGTTTTCGCGCACTCTTTCGCATCTATCCGCGGCCTGTTAGGGGCGACGATTCCGGTCCTCCTCGGATTACTACCATTGGCGTTTCTTCTGCGGCTCTTCCCCGAGACGGGTTTTGATCTCGTTCTTGTCGGTGAAGCCGGGGTGTGGGGCTTCGTCCCGCGGCCGCTAACGTACGCCAGCGGTCGAATCACGGCCACGCGGACGAACGTCCCGGCGACGCGACCGGCCTCGAACAAGGCAGCTTCCGCCCACGACGACAACAGCGGCGACGACGGCCACCACCCGTTGCCCAGGAGACTCTCACCACTCCCGTTGACGTCGTTGTCATCGTCGGTTTTATAACTGCTGCGGTGATCATTGTTTACACCGGGTGCGGTCGTCGTGTCCACGGCCGTTTCGGTGGAGGTGATGGCGCCCTTACGGGGAGCCCTCTTGGCGGCGATCGTCGGAGCTGCAGTAGTGGCAGGACCGTCGCTGCCCACCTCTGCGCGTGCAGCGGTGACGTTCTTCCCGCGTGCCGTGCGGAGAACTCGACCAAAGAAGTAGCGGCCGATGAAACCAGTGCGGACGTCGCCTTGATCGTGAGACACGGGAGGACGTTCACCCATGCACCCTCCGGGGGAGGGGATGACAGGTCTCCTTCCCCGGGTGTTCTTGCCTCGCATGCGTCCCCAGAGACGGGCCAATAGTCTGTACGCTCGGGACAGAATCAGCGCGGTTCCTTTTTTCCTCCGTCGACAGTCGGCGGGAGCGGGAGTCGCGCGCTTGAACAACCACCAACGACGTTTTCGTGCGACCCACAACACTGCAACGATCGAGACGAAAGCCACCTGCGGGGCAATATTGTGTGGTTGGTGTTGGGCGGGGGGAGGGAGGGGAGTATTTCGCTAGGACGGCAGCGGGGACAGGGCGAACAAGATGAACCTCTATGGTATCCACCAACTGACAGCGTATCGTACGCACGCTTTCCTCGAGCTCGAGGTTTGCACGAGAGAAGATTGCCCACGACAACGAAGGGTGCTTGATTGAAGTGAAGGAACGTCGAGATTCAAGTGCTGTTTAGTTCCCACTCAGAGTTTGCAAGAAAATCCCCGAAAACACCAGTACAGCAGTGTGGACTGTTTTCGCCGCTGCTCAAGACCATGTTTTCTGTGTAAGCGTTTTTGCCGTCGGTGTGGCGTCTCCTTGCCTGCACCTCTCGTTGGCAGGCCGCATGCCGCAGCGTTACCCTAGCCGGCAGCAGCGTTCCGTCTCTCCTGGCAGCCTCCATCTGCACCGGGTACGCGTCAAGCAGCTTCCATGCCACCTTTTCACAAGATGCCGCAAGGTAGAGAATGAAGCGTCGATCGAGACCGCGGGTGGTGGTGGTGGTGGCGGTGGCGGTGGTGTTGCCATGGTTGTGGGCGTCGTCGTTTCTATTCTTCGCGGAATATCATTTCCATGTATTCGGTGAGAACCGCAACTGATAGAGCGCAGTTAGGAGGAGTCGGAAGACAACACCACGGCAAACTTCAAAGGTGTTGAGCAGACGAGGCGAGAAAGACAGCAACCAAGGTCTGAAAAACTTCATGAACAGATGTTCGGAGCGTCAGGTCACATCGTGTCCGCACCAGGGGAACCTGCGACGGCCCCAGGTTGTGCGTCCGGCAAAAACGCTCCGAAATTTCGAGCGCGGAGGAGCCTGCCGTCACGTATGCCTCCGGTAGACTCGGATCCACCTGCCCGCGATTTGGGCAAAGCCATTGTGCGGGGGTTAGGGGGGCATGCTTGCACGTGGTTTCGGGGATATGACCTCTCAAGAAGGGACGGGACAAGGACGACATGTTATCGTGTGGCCGCATAACCCGAGAATACTTCGCACCTACAAGGCCGAGGGTGCCCGACACCTACGGCGTGCGCTTGCCGTGCTATGAACACCGAATACCTTTACCCAGAAAATGCTCGTGCCCGTCTCCACGTCTGGCGCAAGCACGGAAGATAGCGTCAAGCGCTTCTCTGCCGTGCCCCTCTTCGTCCTCCTGCGGCTGCTGCTGTCCCCGCGATCGCTCCGGTTCGGCCGCACGCCGCCCTCGTCCGACAACTCCGAGTCTTTGCTCTGCAGCAGCTCCTCCCGGGCACCGGATACCGCTGCCGAACGCCCTTCTTCGCGAGGCTCCAAAGCTGCCGTCGGGGCATGCTGCCTTTCGTTGACGCCGGCCGCCGCCGCCGTGCCCGACTCAATAGCCTTCTCGATCTCCGCCTCCACGAAAGCCATGTCTTCGGGTCGGTTGGTCCCAAACTCTCGGCACCACGCTGCCGCCGCCGCCCCGATCGCCTCCTTCTTATTTTTCTCCGCCTCCTCCTCCCACTCCTCTTCCAAACCCCACTCCTCCTCCTCCTCCCCTTCCCTCCCTTGTTGTTGTTGTCCCGTCTCTCCTTGCTGTTCAGAAACGCCGCCGTCGGATAATCGCGGCTGCCGGTGAGGCGCCTTCTTAGGAGGGATGCGGAACACGAGCGGGGCGGGGTCCCCGTTGACGAGGAGGTCTACGAACACCGAGGCGGGATCGGAGGGGTCGTGGGAGGCCTCTGCCGTTGCTGTTTGGATAGGGACGGGGAAGGGTTGTACGCATGTTTCGTAAGCGTTAGCGGTTAGACCGTTTGACTGGGTGGGGTGAGAGGAGGGGGCTGGGATGAGGACGGTTCTCAAGGTCACCATCAGAATTTGACGGAGAAGCAGAAGGGGAAATCAGGGGGCGAGGTATGCCAGGAAAGAGAGAGAGAGAGAGCTACGTGGAGGGGAAGGGGGTCTGCTATAGGATTAGAGGTGAGCACGGAGCGTTGATGTCTTCCTGCCTGGGGCTGCCGGAGGGATACAACACTTAACTTATCGGGTTCGGACGAGAGTGGGATCGAACGGGTCGCACCGATTTAGGGGGGGGGGGGGG